AACACATACAACAGTTTTACAATTACGGGTTGACAGGATACAAGAAAAGCTAGCTGTACAATTTCCCTAGCTTATCGACTTAAGAGTGTCCACAGGCTATGGCACAGGGAAAGGGAAATGAGGCAGGGGCCAGCACACCACCTGAATTGAGAAGGCAGAACTGAGAGTGCAAGAAGGCTAAATTAGCTCCAGTTCGTAAGATACGCTATTAGAGAGAACAGAGGTACACAGGTAAGAATACCCTGGTGATTTGCAGAGGATCCCTCTGGAATATTCAGCAAAACTGATCAGTTTATGCATGTGAAATTACCCCAGACAAGGTAAAGAATCATCCAGAGAGACTGGGGTGAAGAGTATCTGGCGTGCACAGAATATCAGGAATAATGTCTATTCCCAGTAGCCAGACTGAAAAAACTCACAAATCCATTGAACACTAGGGACCAGTACTCAGGAAGGTCTAAACTCAGTCATGGAGAACAATTTGTTCGAGACTGAGCACTGCTTTGGGCCTGCCTAATAAATCATAAAAAGTAACACTCAAGAAAATCAAACTTTTTCAAGTAACTTTCCCATATCCCAGAGTAAAGTTCAATATTTTCAGGAACAGAAAAATAACCATCACCCCAGTGGAGAAAACTCACAATGTATGGCACCCAATAAATATTATTAGGCATAGAAGGAGGCAAGAAGAACTTGAGTTTGTAAGAAGTCTCATCAAACATAAGACAGCCGCGTGTGCACACCCGTCTGACTGTTGACCACAAACCTACAGATGCTCCGAACCCTGACAGACTCACATCTAGGTTTCTGGTAAGCGTATGCCTTTGTTCCACCTCATTTTCCAACTTCTTTTTTAGATGAGATATCTCATGTTCCAACTTTTCTATCTGGTTACTAAGCCTTTGTTTGGTTTCTGTTTCAGATCGCTCCAGTATTCCCTATGGTAAAGAAAAGATTTTTGGTTATGTTAAAGAAAAAAGTCAAAAAAGCAATACCAATTAAAGGATATAGGGAATTATAGAATCGAAACCCATTTCTACATTAAGATCTATGACACTAAGAAAGTTATTTTGACATTTTACATATTAAAACATCTATTTAATAGGAAAAAAAGAAAAACATATTACAATAGCCATTCAGATTTCTTCAAGTTTTAAGGCACAAAATAAAAACGACAAATTTATTCTTGTAAGCAATTCAATTGCACAGCCCTTTTTAAATACAGACAGACCTGAAGATCGAAACTGCCAACTGCATGAATTTCAGGTCTTTTTCAAAAATTATTTAGAATACTGACAAATCTTAGTAAACCTCAAAATTCAATGATCATCATAATACATGACAAAAATGGCAGATAAATTTTCTAATTAAGATAACTAAGAAAATATAATGTTAAAACTATTTAAATTGTTTCTATATGTGCCTTTTTATTTAGTTACCTGAATTGTTTGCAGATTAGTTAGCAGTAAGTTTTGTCCTCTTTGTTCAGCTAACAAAGACTCTCTTTGCTGAGAGAGACGAACTTCTGACAGCTTAAGCATTTCCTTTTCCTTTTTCAAATTTTCTGCTCTTACCTTGAGGAAATTACAAAAGAAAAAAATGTTGGAAAACAATGTGTCAAATGCAATAATACAGTTATGAAATGAATATGCTCCTCCATCATTCCATATTCCTTAATGCTAATTAGAGACTATATCTTCTGTCTACGGCCATACCACCCTAAATGCGCCCGATCTTGTCTGATCTCGGAAGCTAAGCAGGGTCGGGCCTGGTTAGTACTGGATGGGAGAGACTATATCTTTTTTTATATACGAAAATAAAACTTAGTTACATGTGTTGAAATATGGAGCAAAAATAACTGGAAACACCAACAGATCAAAGAAAAAAAATCTTGCTTTTACCACAAATATTTCCAATTTCTTTGCTCTAAAAATAAGGCTTTAAAACAAGTAACAAAAATCTAAAATGTCAGAGTAAAAGAAAAACTGCAAAATTATGCTCCAGTCATACCTGCATGCTATTAAACCATGCAAGTTGTGTGAGGTAGCACGGTTACTACCTAAAGAGTGCTGACTGATGCATTTTAACTTCTTTGTCCCCCATGAAGAACGGACTCTGCGTCTCAGGGCATCTGGGAGTGTGACTGGAAGATCAATATCCTCTAAGTATTCATCTTTACATAAGTCATAAACTATCAATTATCAAACTATCTCCACCATTTTGAAAAAATGCATTCCCCAAAAAGGAACGGGAGCAAGATAAAAATAAAAGAACATAGCCGTTGGATTCAGAATACCTAGGTTTAAGTCCCAACCAACTCATATTGCATAACTGTGCCAAAACAGGCAAATTACTTAGCTTTTAGTTTGTGTTTCAACAAGTAAAATGGGGGACAACTTCACCTAGTTCAACAAAAGTTGAGAGATAACTTAATAAAAAAGCAAAATACTTCATAAAAATTAGTCATCAAAGAATTCAGTATTTAGTTGAATGTACTGTCAATTTCTGGTAGACATTTACATTCACGGTGAAATTAAAAAATATAATTCAATGCTAATAAAATTTTTAATTGTCTCTTATTAGAAATGAGCAAGAAAAACATTCATTTGTTTTTGTTACAACTACAGAAAGAATGATTTACAAATTTATTTTGAAATGGAAGACTTATAAGGAAATCTTAGTCCAGAAAAACAAACTTCTCCTTCAGTTTGAACAGAAATAGTCACTCAGCTGATACACAACTGGATATAGCTGCCCCTTCAACAACGTAGCAGTGTGGGGCACCAATCAGCCACACAGGGAGGTGGGCCCTCCACATACAGATTTCCAACCATGGATCTAACTACTGTCGACCCTTGAACAACATAGGCTTGAATGATGCGGGTTTACTTATACTGGGTTCACGTATAAGCAGATTCATGGGCAAGTGGACCTGTGCAGTTCAAACCTTGATCAAGGGCCAACTGTATTTGGAAACTATGTAATAAAAACTTATAATACACAAACCTCTCAAATTCTGTCACACCAACCAGTAAAATCAAAGTAATAACTAAAAAGTCAAATGACAAATGCAATTTATAAGGCAAGTCAGATGAGAGAAATTGGTCTCACTTCTGCAACAGCCAGCTTTTCGTTTGCTCCTCTCAGGTCTTGCGTCATTGTGTTGATGATCTGCTCCTGCTTTTGAGTCGTTGCAGTGAGCTTCTGATTTCTCTCCTGCAGGGATGTTATTTCTCGGCGATATCCTTCAACATTATCTTGTAGCATCTCATACCTTATAGAAAAGAAGGACAATTCTGTAAGACACTGCATCCTAGTTTAGTTCCTTAAAGAATTTCACATTAGCTTAATTTTAAATAATTAAGTATACTTTAAAAAGTGGCTTTGTAATGTGATACCTTTTTTCTCAACTTCAAAGTTAGCAGTTTAATTTAAACTCTAAATAAGCACAATATTTCAAGTTGAATTAACTTTTTAATCTTATTCATTTACAAGAATTTTAACCATATTGAATAATGCCAAATACAATGTTGATACACTAGACACTCACCAAAATGCAGTATCCAATTTTAGATATTTATGCAGCTAGTAACAGATTTTTGCCTTTCTATTTTCCACTATAACTCTTCATCTTATTTTCTTATGTGCTTGAAATCTTAGCAAATGGCTAGCTAGAACTATGAACGTAGGGGGAAAAGGATGCTTTTATTTTGAATATCAAACCTGAAATTATATTATAGAGGTTAACTGCCTGCCATATCCTTACAAAAACATGTAGTACAGCAAACCTCATTTCACTATGCTTTGTAGATACTGCTTTTTAAAAAAATATATTTTATTTATTTACTTCTAGAGAGAGGGGAAAGGAGAGAGAAAGAGAGGGAGAGAAACACGAAAGTGTGGTTGCCTCTCCCATGCCTCAAACTGGGGACCTGGCCTGCAACCCAGGCATGTGCCCTGACTGGAAACTGACCTGGCAACCCTTTGATTCGCAGGCCGGCACTCAATCCATTGAGCCACACCAGCCAGGGCTATAGATACTGGCTAAAGATACTGGTATAGATACAGGGCTAAAGATATTTATAGATACTGCCATAAATATAGATATTTATGAACACCAAGGCAAGACCCTCCACCATCAAAAAGATCATGAGTTGTTAAAAGGCTCAGATGATGGTTAGCACTTCTAAGAAAACGTTTTGAAATTAAGGTACATAATGTTTTAGACATAATGCACACTTAACATACTACAGAAGAGTGTATACATAGCTTTTTTATGCACTGGGAAACTAAACAATTTGTGTGACTCGCTTTATTGAGATATTCATTTCATTGCAGCAGCCTGGAACTGAACCTGTGATATCTCCGAGGTTGTGCCTGTATACACAGAATAAAATTCGCCCTACTTGTTAAGCTAACAAGTATTCAACGGATCTAACAAATAACTATGGAATGAAGTTTACTGTTACTCCTTTGTAAGTGACCAAGAAAGTGCATTTCCCCAAAATTAACTCTCTGGAAGACCTGTGTGTCTTCTACCTAAAATAGAAAGGGCTGAATAAAGGTGCTCACCTCATGCTTATCCTCTGGTGCACTTACAAAATAATTATGTCCTACAGAAACCATAGGCCTTTCACTGCCAGGAAGGAGTTCTAGCAACACTTCTTACATCAACTTCAGTTTTAAATAACTATCTGGATTGCTCAGCAATGGCCCAAGGGAATCATTAACCAATATTAGAACACAGCCCCCATAGTTTCTCATCTGGATTATGGTCCACAAAAAAGTAATACGAATGCAAATTAACCCCTGATTTTGGTTCACTGAAGACTGAAGTATGCCATTTGGACTTCATTACCTTTTTTGGATAATCTAAATGTGATCTATTTTTAACATTAAATTTATTGGGATGACACTGGCTAAGAAAACTATATAGGTTTAAGTGTACAATTCTGATACATCACCTGCATATTGTATGGCATGCCCACCACCCAAAGTTAAAAAACATGGAATGCTTCACAAATTTGCAAGTCATCCTTGTGCAGGGACCATGCTAATCTTCTCTGCATCACTCCAATTTCAGAATATGAACAAACGAAAATTTACCGTTTAGAAGCAAAATCTAGCTGTGTAGATATTTTGGTGTTCTGTGACCGCAGATCTGTGACTTGCTCCTGAAGTTTCTCGAGCTGCTCATTTTGGAGTTTTTCATTATCTGCCTTTTCCTTTTTGTAGTTCTCAAAAATTTCCTGCAACTAAGTATCAGAGAAATTTTTAGAAGATGACACTGTTATCGAAAACCTAACCCAAAATAAAGGTGGGAAGGTGGGATCTGTACCTGTTTAAGGGCGGCCTTGGCTTCTATAGCCTCTGCCGACTCAATGATAGGCACCGAAGTAGGAGTGGAAACAGTCTGTGATGTACTTGAACGTTTTGGAGTTGAAATGAGTGAAATATCGTCCAAGCTTGAAGCTTCAAAAATGTGGGAAAAAAAGATAACATTCCTTCACAAATATGGTATTGCCAAAATCAATAAACTAGACTTAAGAGATCATAGATTACAGAAATTATGAAACAAGGAATCTACTAAATAACCTATTAAAATTATTTTTGGTTTCTGATCAGATAAATCTGCAGACTAAATGTTAAAACATGACCAAATATAATCCATTGATTTTAAGATGCACTTTTCAACACTGGTCAGCATTTCTGCTTTCTTAATAAGACCTAAAACAAAAGTATGCTTTAGGATTGAAGACCTGTTATGACCAACCACATACGGTGGTCAAATACAGTGCATGTTGCTTATGTTGCAGAATCCATTCTCTAATATCCATTTCAGAAAAATTGCCCCAAATACTTGGATACCTTTAAGATAAGAGATAGAAACCTACCTTGTAAAGGAATGACAACTCCTGTTGTCTGTGACAACAAAATACGGTACATATCACGCTGACGAACTATGGAGTCAACCAGTTGCATCTGATGCTGTCGGGACCCACGGAGTTGCTCCAATTCAGTGAGGGCGCTCTCCAGTTTGAGCTGCAGCTCAGTAATCCTACAAAAAAACCCCAAGTCTATTTCACTGACATTGAGAGGCAGTTGTAATTTCTACTGTGTAACACAGACCAAGTATTTTACCATCTGTCATTAAGCATCCTATTTTTCTCTCTTACCCTTTCTTTCTTCTAAGTGACATGTGTAATAACCACTTCCAAAGCCCCACCATAAAGGACTCACACACTCATCACTGTCACCTGAAAAATCTGTCTGCAAAAATAAACCAATTCCACTCAGGCTAAACTCCAGAAGTTTTGCCTTCATAGCCACTCCTCCTCCTTTAGCACCAAACACACTAAAAAAACCAAACCAAAACAACTTTGCCTGAGTAATTCCTACGCATCTTCTCTCCGAAGTCTGGTGTGTTCTCTAAAATCTAGGCAAGGTCCTCTACCTCAAAGTTCGCATGAGCAGGTTTTTATCTATTACAGCACTGACCATGCTGAACTAAAATTATCTCCTTATCTAATTACCAAGCTCATCCACAAACTGAGCTCCCTGAGAGAAATTTTTTTTTCTTGGTATTGTTGCTCAATTCTTTCTCTCTCCCAAATCACTACATTCCCAGGCTGGCACTGCTAGGGGATACATCAGGAGTTTTCAATAAATGTTTGCTGAACAATCAAGGTAGTCCATAACTTACTTGGATGAAGTTGTTTCTTGTTCTTCTCTTTCTCTGGTCTCCCCAAGTTCCCTAAGAGCCACTAACAGACGCTGATTTTGCTGTTGAAGCTCTTCGATATTTCTGTAAGATACTAGGTGCTGGGATATTACTTCAGATGAACTGCTTATATCAGCAGAGCTTACTTCCTCATCACGAATTACATGGTTACCCCTTGCTTCCTCAAGTTCCATCAAAAGCACTCTAATCTAAAAAGAAAGTATTAATATCATCAAATACTGAAGAGCACTGGCTTTGATTCTGGAAACATTTAGAAGAAAAATTTTCAAATAAAAACATTACTTTATAAACACCATCGACTTGTATTACATTATCTTAAATGCCAAAATATCAAACATATTTTAAATATTAAGACCTAAAAATGTCTAACAAAAAAACTATTTTCATTTCTATCAAGTAGGTAATGAAGGCTGTTACTTTTACAAAGCAGCCACATTATAATTCCAGAAGCATTATTCAATTTCTGTACAACAATGCTAGTACTGTCATCCTTATGTATGTACTATCTAATGAAGCAGAAAAAGAGAGTGAAAAATAGATTTTAAACCCATTTAGACAAAAACTTAGTGTTGTTTGTGTGTGTAGACCCACAAACATAAATTAGGGTAAAATTTATGACCAAAATAGGTCTACACTTCCTGACTAGTTCAGCTAAAAAGTGGCAGAGTAATGAATATGGCATCGTTTTGTATCAGTAAAAACACAGAAAACTCATACATGTTTATATTTGCTCACGTGTTTATAAATGTAAAAAGAATGACATGAAAGAATATATAGAAGTCTGTTATTTGGTTATACCCTGGGACATGGGCAGGGGAAAGAAATTATATTTATATTTGAATTATTTCATTTATTACAACCAGTGCCTGTAATCTGAAAATTTACCAAACACGTAAGAAAAAAGGAGGGGCTATGGAAGATCAATGACTAGGGTGCCATTCTCATGGAGTAGTATTCCTAATTGACATAAATTTCCTATGTGGCAATTCTCTCTTAGATTCCTGGAAACAAATTCAAACATTACCGAGTCATCAGTTTAGGGGAAAAGAAAATAGGAAAGGAAAAAACTTCTAACCTGCTGTGAAAGATCTTTTATTTGAATTTCCATTCTCTGATTGTCTCTTTCAAGTACAGAGGAATGTTTGTTGGCTTTATCAGTGTCCTCCTGTAATCGTTGAATCTCCTATAAAATGTAAATTCAAGTTAAAATTCTGTATTTCCTTATAAGATCTATATAGATGAAACAGTAAATGAATAGAGTGCTCAAATACCATAATAATCAACTTATAAACTAAAAATATCCAATTAACATATTTCTACATAATAAATCCTAAAGAGAAATCCTTTGTAATTATTGGCTTGGCCAAAAAGTCTATTTAGTTTTTTCCGCAAAATAAAAGACACATTTTTCATTTCACTAATAACTTCACTGATTTCGGTATTTTGAGTATGTTGGCTCTCTCCTGCTATTGGCTTCTAGTGGATAGAGGCCAGGGGTGCTGCTAAACACCTTCCAGGGCATAAGACAGCCACAGCAAAGTTATTCGGCCACAATGTCAGCAGTACCAAAAAACTTTGCAAATCACTTTTGACACATCTGATCAGTCACAGTACATTTTCCATATACTGTACAAATTATATTTTGTGTTTCAGTTATGTTTTTACCTTTCTTGAAATATGAAAGAATATGCCAAAAATGTTGTGTACTTTCTTCCATCTTTAATATTAAAATGGCTGCACAAAAATTCACCAATTTTATTTTTTTTTTTAAATGAACACTAACATGACAGTTATCACAGTAGTCTAAGAAAATTGTTTCAAATGAGGTTAAAGACATTACCAGAGCCATCATACAGAAAAAACTAAACAAACATTTTTGGCCAACCCAATATGAATACATGTATTTCTTAATTATCTCAATGATTGTTCATCATAATGTTCATCACCACATAAAAACGATGGGCAACATGCCCCCTCTCTCCAACTGTCACTTACAATTTTATAGACACACCAACATGTTAAATAATCTCAAAAGTTTTGTTACTTAGACAAAAACAAAGGATAGTATTACAATGATAATCTAGTACTCTGGTTACCTGAAAATAAATACCGAATAAGTAAAAAATGTTGGGTAAGATGCATAAAAAACTTGATTTTGTAAAAAACACATTAAGAATTAATTCTAAATAATCAGTAGCAAATGTTACAAAGCTGTAAAAAACCACAAAACAACAACAAAAAACACCCAGTGACATCTGCAGTGCTCTGCCAAGTTCCGCATCACAGCACCAATAGGGATTCAGAGGCAGCTTTAAGGAGCCTCATATGAGCACAAAATACCTGAGACATTACGTGTTACTTCATATTCATACAAATTTGGCTTTATAATGTATTGTTTTCAAGTAAAAAATCTAAAAATACTATTCAAGTAAAAGACGGCTCATATTTATCCTGGCATTTTAAGTAGCGCGCTGCCCTAATGCTGTGTCTAAACCAGTTTCAAAGACAACTAGTATATGACAGAATGAAGCAAGCGAACATTCATGAGCTATTCCAATAATACAAGTCTACTGAATTCAAAACGGGATCAATTAAGACGCCTAGGAAGGAAGTTATTAGTTAGAAAACCCTAAAGCTCTCACGAATAATCATCACAGAGTCTAGACTGAAGGACATCTGGTGTACATTACGGACAGAAGATTCAGTTGTAAAAAAGAGCCACAGTAATTATTCTAACACTCTTTGACAGTTATGAAAAAATAAGGGATTGCTGGTACTGTGCCTGTACATTAGTGAAGAAGAGCTTTCCCCATCATTAATAGCTGCTTTTTCCTGATTCTTAAGCCCCTCCACCTCACTATCTACCCCCTTTAGACAGTAAGCTCCAAACAAAGCTCACCCTCCACAGTGGAGAAACTCCAATTCTAATCAGATCTAAGGGATCACTTTTCAAACCAGATGAAGAAAGGGGGTGTCACAAAGCCAATATTCTGTCAAAGCAAAACTGGCAGATGTCATTTGATTCAGGGGAGAAACAGTAAGATATATCCCGATTTAAACTGCTATCTAAATTGTAATAGTAATAGCAATAAAAGTTTAAGTTTGAGTGAAGGATACAATTTATTTGTACTAGGAAAGGAAGGGTGGGAGGGAGGGAACGAGGAAGGAAAGGAAAAAGACAGAATGAAGGAAATTCATCAGTAGAAAGGCAGATACAAACTGACTTAATTGAATTTCCTTAAAAAAAAAAAACAACAAAACATATTTAATAAATCTTAAAGATTTCTCAGTAATATTAATAGTTGTGCCCTAAAAGTAAAATTACCAGACTATAAATACTCTTATTTCATCATTATGTATTAAA